TGAATAGGAGAAGGAATTATAAAGGTATGGCGGAGGGGGGCAATATTTACCAATTTCCGATGGAATAGAGTCGAGATTATTCTCTTCTACGTCCAGGATGCGTAGCTTTTTAAGCTCTTGGATGGATACGGGAATCCTCTGAAACAGAAAAAGAGGGAAGAATTAGGGAAGAGTGCCGTTAAAACCTTCAAAAGCCAAGGACAGTTATCACGTTCGGTCACCGGTTTGCCTCGCATGATAAAACTGCTCACGAGGGGAAAGGGCGACAGCATAGTGCGACCTCTGAGACAAGCATTCTGCTTGCTGATTTGTCCCTATCTACTGCAAACTAGCAAGTACCGCCTTCCTTATCAAAGTCAAAGAGGTTAGGGGATTTGGCGACGACAAAACAAAAAAGGACATGACAGGAATCTACATGTGTGCCTGTCTGGTCACACGATTACGCAACAGAATCGCATGTGATGTTGTTTTTTTTTTGAGGGAGGGAGGGAGGGAGAGAGGAAGTAAGAGGAAAGAGAGCTTTATTTGCTGGGTTCACGTAGTCTGAAAAAGGTCGGAAGGATCGGAAGAAAACAGGAAGGTAGAGTAGACAAGAAAGGCTCCTAAATCATACAACAGCGGTTGCACAAAGCTATTTTGCGACCGCCACATGCCGGCTGCACACAAACATTGCTAATATCAGATGTTTCAGATGACTCTATCTGCTAAACGCACACGCTGAGGCTGTATTATAACAACTGAGCACTTTCCCAAATTCATCGCCCAGGCTGACTTGATTACCGCTGAGTCAGTTGACTATGCACAGATGTGTGCATTCCCATAAACGCGGACTGAGTCCAAATTTATGTCTGTGGGTTAGTAGTTGGGAACTGTAATAACCGAAGCCACCCCCCTTTGACTTTTGTATTTTAAATAAAACGCAAATAATTGTAGTTTATTACTCCCTCGCTGCAAACTTCGGCCAGGACTTATGAAAACAGCTATGATTGCGCAAAAGAATAGTAATATGGCAAAGAATAGCTCCGTGTGCACATTATAGGCTTTAGACGTTCAGAGATTAGTCCTTTTGATGGCGCACTAGCAAAAAAGAGAAATAACTCCCAGGGCAAATTCGTGGGTGGTAAGCAGTTGCTGGATGGCACCAAATGAGGCCGAAAAGCGGACACTGAACGCCGAGGTAGGTCACAAGGTGCCCCACCACAGTAACATATTAGTCCAACAGCCATTATTAATACTGGACTACATCAGGGGAATATGCGAGAGTACTGGATGCGATGATGCAAAGAATCTTCTTGCACGCAACTACACGCGGGTTGAAAATGGGTTTTGTGAAAGAGCAAATCAGATTAAGGCAAATCTGCATGTACAGGCTATTCGAGGCAGCCACGCAACATGAAAGTAGGCAAGCAATTAAGGGACAAGTAGTAAGCG